ACCAAATCCTACAGAAAATAAAATTGAAGTTATTAAGCCAACAAGGACATCACTCTTTTTATGTTTTATGATTGAAGCTATGAATAAGATGACAATCAATAGAAGACTAATTGAAAGAACTACAATTGCAAATGTGTTGTAATTTAAACTTTTAGTTACATCATCTTAAGTATCTTCTAAGAAAGGAACATAATGTTTGAATGTAAACATTAAAAGACCACAAATTAAGACTATTGACATTGAGCACCAACTTCTTTTAGAAAAGCGAGGTAATCCACATATACCGTGTCCACTTGTGCACCCATTAGCCATTTTAGTACCAACACCACTTAAAAATCCTGCTATAATAAATCCAATATAATTTAGTTTATAAGTCATTACTGTTGGTTAGTCAAATATGACGAAACTAGAGTTAAAAACAGTCCCAAAACCAAATATTAAATACAAAACTGAGACGCTTGCTGAAAAAGCACAGAAAAAGGCGGCTTACCAAAAGAATTCATCAGCTTAGAATTTAAATAAATTAAATAGAATGCCAGAAATGCCAGTTATCTTTCCTTTCATCAATAAATTAAATGTAGTTGCTATGAACACTATAAATCCTCCAACAACTGCAAATGCAAAATCTATTGCTTCTACCATTTTTTTAGATCTTTGTTTATTTATTTATTTGTTAGTTAATTTTTTAGCTTTATTTTGTTGTGTTTAAATTAAAAATAATTATAATAATTTGCTTTAATGGAATATATAAACTTAGAGTTCTACATTTACTTTTATTTGTTAGCTTAACTCCTTTACATTAACTTACATAGGGATAACTCACAACTCATTTATAATTAATCAAATTTATCAATTTAATAAATTCAGTTCATATCTTTTGTTAATACCAATTTTAATTAATAAAATCAAGATAGATTAAAATAGAAAGATAGGCTTATCCTTAAAATCCACATTCATTAATTATTAATCTCAACGCATTATTTTGTAACTCAATTCTAGCATTAAAAATTAAATACAATTTTATTAGAAATAATTAGGCAAATAATAATTTGTCTTTAACTTAAATTAAGTCGAATTCAAATAAATGCATAAGCTATAACGGCAGTCATTCAGTTAAGATAAAATTTAAATCTTAAAATTTTAAATAACAGATTTAACTCATTTTGTTCAAACTTTAAATTCTAAGTATTTCTTCATTTTCTGTTTGCTCAAATTCTTTAGGATAATACATAAAAGACAAAGGGTGAATACTAACTAATAAATGTAATAAGATTTACTTCTACTTTAATATTAATAATTAATTTTTGTATTAAAATAATTAGTTTATAAAATCATTAAAGGCTAATATCTCAAACTACTTTTAGAAAATAAATAAAATGTACTTAAATGAGTTTCGAATTGTAAAAAATATTTATTGGCAATTATCATTATTATTACTCTTTAAATATAATATAGAAATTCGCAATTTTTCTAATTGAATATATAAGTCGATAGAAAAAATAATAAGTAATTGTAATAAATATGTCTTTTTTATATGCAATTTGCAATAATTTCAAAAGCTAGCAAATAAATTTGTTTTTAATGTCTACTTACTATTAAAATTTTGTATTATATTCTCTTAATATAAAGTAAAGTAAATAAAATAAAAGTAACAAGGCATATTTTTATTTAGCAATTCAAGCAATAAAAAAATACCACAAGAGCTATAAATTACTTATATCTTGAGTTAAGCTATGAATTTGAATATATTTAAAAAAAATTGTTTTTAGCTTAATAAAAAATATAAGATAAAAATGTGTTCACTAATTTTTACTATTTATTAAAAATAATACTTCTATGTGATTATTTGTGGTATTAATAATTTTAATTTTGCTTACATATTTTTAATTCAAGCACTACAAAGATATTATGAATATTATTAGATGCAAGTAGATATTTTTTAATTTTCTTATTGAGATAAAAGATATTTTGATCTGTTGTCTATTTACAAAGTATTAAAGGAAAAAAATTAGTAATTAATAATGTTCTAAAAATATCTAGAAAAAAATATTTGCAAAAAAAAATATAAACTATATTTGATGTAAAATCTTTGAATTCTAGCAATTCAAAACAAATGAAAATAATTAGAACTAAAAAAAGTAAGCATTTAAGGCATTTTTTAATAATTTTAACAAATAAAATTAAATTTCTCAATAAATTCTGAATCTTTTAAATTAATGAGAAAACACTCAAAAAAATGTTGAACCTTAAGTAAAAAAATACTTATTATTTTTACTCGCTATGATGTTTTACAAATTAAGTGTTTAAAAATATGAAAATTATCAGAAATATTCATGATACTCAAAAAATTATAAATGTAAATAAAAGTAGATTTATCAGTTTGTAGCCTACTGTAGATTAAAAACGAAAGTTCAAAAAAAATTATACTGATCTAAGTACACTCTATCAGAATGTTTCAAAAAATAATTACATTTAATTTTAATTTACTTAAAACTTTTAGAATTCAAGCATCTTAAAAAAAATATTAATAAGAATTTTATAATAAATTATTATTTTTTTGCTATTAAAGTAGATTTATAATCTAAAATACTGGTCTACGAGTAGATTTTAAAAGTAAAATCTCAAATATAAAAATTATGAAAGAAATTTATTCAAAATAAACATTAAATTACAAAATATGTTTGTTAGTTCATTTATTCAAATAGATTTATTTTATATTGATTAATAGACTTTATTAATTAGATAATTAATAAAGCCTATTTCTATATAATTCCTACTTTGACAAATGTACATGCTTCTTTATTCAAAATTTCTTTATTTTAAAGAGAATTTAATTGATTCGGTTTGCTTAAAATATTACATTTTCGAATTATTTTAACTCGAAATTAAAAAATGTTTTTTAAGAATATACAAAAACTAACTAGAATTAATTTAAACATTAATATTGCTTCATTTATTATAAATTTATTATTGATACTTTTACTTAGATTATTTTAACTTCTGAATATCTCATCAATATTAAAAAATTGCTTTATATATTCGTACAATATTAGAATTAGTTGAGTATTTGTTCTTGATAATACTGAATATCATCTTTTAGAATTACGTAATAAAATACCTTCGCAGATAATATAGCTTGTTTCATCATTTTTGAATCAAATAAAATTATTATTACTTATTTTTTTTTAATTAATTAATATGCTACTTCTAATCAAATCACTTAAACATAATTTTTTAGATAAATAGAACTATAATTGTTCAAAATGCTATTTATTTAAAAGAACTGGTATTAATTCTTTTTAGATTCACTTAATATACTTTATTTATTAATTAAATTATTGAAATGAAATATTTGCAAATATAGCAAAACTTAAGACATTAATTAAAACAGTTCTAAAATAATTAAAGTAATATGATTTACTTAAATTGTTGATTGATAATTTATGATTAATTATGATTAAGTAATTATTAATTCATGTTAAATGATTAATCATAATTAATAATTATTGATAGATGAGGGTAATGTTTATTTATGATAAATAAATTATTGTTTTATTTAAATCATAAACTGAATAACATATAATTTTGTAAAGATCAAACTTTTGTAGGTCATAACACTATTTTTCCTAATATGAAATGCATTATATCTTGAAAGGAAATATTTAACTAAAATTAATTAGGAAATCAAAGCATAATTAACTACTTATTTACCAATCAAAAAGATTTATTTATATCACATTTATTTACTAATATTTATAATGTTTTTTTCTGTTGATTCTAAAACTTTTTGGGTGTGCTTAATATTTTTTTAATTCATATATATGGAGCTAAAAAATTTTTTTTCAAAAAAGATTTTAATCAATTAACTAACAATATTCACATTTTAACAAAAAAAAATAAAAATAATAATATTTATTATTTATTTAATCAGTGAAAAAATTAGATTTCATTAAGGGCCAGTCCAAGTTGCCATAAAACCAGGTAAGTGAGCCTTAAGGTTGATATTAGGATTTGCTATATATTCTTTGATGCCAGGCAAGTTTTCAAATCTTTTTAAATAAGCAGTTAGGGCTGCAGTCATTGCTTAAGGGTATATGTATTATACATGGTTAACCAACTCATAGAAATGAAAATCTGCATAGGTTAAGCTCTCCAACAAAAATAGCTTGTTTCCTAAAAAATTTGTAAGTTTCTTAAACATGTACTCAACTTTTTCTGTATAAACCTTCTCTTTTACTTCATAAAAATCAGGTCTGAAGCAAGTTAAATTGATTTCTTTTGCTATATCTCTGATAACTCCCATTAGCTGAGTGACTTTCACTTCTTTGTTGGTGCTAGATCCATCAGCTTATAATCCTAAAAGTTAGAATTATTTGTACTTCTTAATTAAGTAGACAGGAATAGCGAAAGATTCAGTGAGCTTAACATCTCCATCAATTAAATATGGAAGATTAGGGAATTCTAAACCAAGATTGTCTTTGTCCTTTCCAAACCATTCTTCAAGAGAGGCATAAGTTTTATTGGTGTATTTCACTCCTAAATAAGCAAGCAAGAAGCGGATAGGTTAGCCAAAACCTCTAATGTTCCAATAGCCAAAAGTAATCATTATTATTCTTATGAAATTTAATTTAAGTTAATTGTTTTTTATTTTTTAATTTATACAATCTACTTAACCATTATTTGAGCCTATTTAAATGAATAATTTAATTTCAAGAAATCTTGAATTTTGTTAATTTCTGATAATTAACAAAAAAATTATTAAGTATCCTCTTTAATATCATATTTTTTTACTTAATTTGAATTGTTTTTCGACAAATTTTCTTAATTTATTCTATTGTTTGAAATCTGATCGTTATTTGTTTTTTGGGGAAGGAAATCGAATATAAAGTTTGTGAAATCTGATTATTTTTATGGAAATAATAATTGAATGTAAAGCTTAGTCACTTTGATAAAAAAATTAAGTGCATTAAACTCAATAAGAAGCTTATTCAAAATATTCAATTTTATTTTTATAATAATATAATATTAAATTTCAAAATTAATTTAGTACATACCATACCTATTTATAAGAATTTTTTAAATATTAAAAGATAAATATATCATTTAGAGCTATATCAATATGCCAAAATTCATATTTATATTTTTTGTGTGAAACTAATTACCTTATCTAATAAAGAGCATTAAATAAATGGTCTAATTTAAAATATTAAGTATATGAGTTATTTAAATAATTAAACAAATTAAAATATATTTTTGAAATATTTAGAGCTTATATTTGCTTTTCAGCAAAATAGAAAAATTAAAGAATAATTAATTTTCTTTTTTTAATTTTTGCTAATTTTCTGAAAAAATCTGATTTTTCAGTGGCTCCTATAATTAAATTAATAAGCTTCTGCAATTTAATTAGTTATAGAAAATATTACACTCACCTCATATGCAAATTTTTACATGTTAAAATAATACAATTTAAGAAATTAAAAATAACATTTTATTTCAATAATATTTTGTTTTGATTATATATATCCAAATTTTTCAAATTTCCTTAAAAAGTTATTTAAAAATTTATAAATTACTTGATAGGTTAATAAGGTCATTTTTGATAAAAAAAGTTTTTTTATCAACTGGCCTAATTAATGAGAATGTATTTTATATAATATTGAAAAGAAAATTTACTAACTTTAATTACTTAAAAATAAAAAACGAATAAGCTTACTTGCATATAAAAAGAATAAAATATTGAAGGATAGAAAACCTTATTTAAAAATTTTTTAAACTATAAATGATAAAATTTTTTTGAGTAATTAATTATTTACATTCATAACAGAATACATAGTTGTATAGCAGCTAGCACTAAGCTAAATGAAATGAAATTTTAAAATGTAGAAAATACACACTAAGATTTCATTATTTCATTTTAAGAGAAGGTAGCTTAAAATTTTGTAGGGCATGGAGTACAAGATCCAATAGTAGCTAGAGTAGCTTATGAAGGATTTCCAAAATAATCTTTCTAGCATTTACAAGATATGCTAATAGGATCAAAATATACTGCTAAGCTATTATCATTACAAATACAATTACTTTAATCATTATTTGTTTAAGATCCAGAAGGGCAAGATATACATTTAAAAGAAGTAGAACTATTAGAATAAAAACCTTATGGACAAGAAGAGCAGCCAGAAAGACTTGAAATGTCTTCTTGATAACCATTTTTACATGTACAATTATTTGTTGATTAGTCCAAAATTACACCAAGGCCTGCTACATTACAAACGCAACCGCTTTAATCTAAGTTAGTCACAAATTTAGAAGGACATGTTTGGCAGTTATGCTGTGTTTAACTATTAGAATACTACCCTTAGGGACAAGGAAAACAACCTGATGGAGCATTTTAAGAAGTAGCAACACTTCCATAATAGCCATTTTTGCAGTTGCATGATTAGACTTAAGATGATAAAGGAGTTGCATTTGAATCATAGCAAGTACAATATCCTTATTAAGAATTTTTAGGGTTATAAGAATTATTAGGGCAAGAGATACATTATGCAGCAGATGGTTATATTCCTTAAGCTGACTAAATTGCAGGAGATACCATAAAATAGTTCTCTAAGCATATTGAACACTGAGAAATATCACCTTAAATATTTAAATCTTCTAAAGTACCACTTCCTTATGGACAAACTAAACATTAAGCAGCCACTCCTTAATTATTATTATTTTATGAAGCAGCTATTGAGCTTTAAGCCATATAATAATTTATTGCACAAGAGTTGCATACAGATTGATCAACTGTTTAAGCTCCAGAACTAAGAGTTCCATTAGGGCACGGTAGACATTATGCAGAATTTAGAGTGGGTGACTAAGAAGAAGGATTTGTCATATAATAATTTTGTAAGCAAATACTACAACTAGAAATTTAAAAATTATCTATATTTGCTTGATTAGTCCCTGATCCTTGTGGGCATTCAATGCAAACAGGTACTTAATTCCTATCAACATGTACTTAACTATTTTTCTCATTGTAATAAAAGTTTGGTAAACATAGATCACAGCTTAACGAATTCATCCATTAAACATATTATGGTTATGAAGAAGTAGAATTAGTTTAGCACAACTAGCACTGATTAATATAAAAATCTTGAAAATAGCTTTAGTTGCAAATACATTAATAGAATTAAGGAGAAAAAGAAGAGTTTTAAGGACAATCCCACTAAGTTAAAACTTGAATAATTAAAATTTAGAAAATAATTGCTGTCTAAAGAGTGATCATTTCTATATATTATTTCAAAATTTATTTTGGTTATTGCTTCTATTTGATTATTTATGTAATTATTTGTTCTATTATTGAAAAAATAATTAAATTTTTAGATTATTAGAAATGAAAAATTTAAATATAATGGTAAGTAATAAATTAATAAGTTATTTCATTTAGATATTCATGATTTAAATAAAATAAGCAAAAACATAAATATCTAATTAGATCACATTTAAAAATCAAATCTACTTTGAAAAAAATTATATTTTTAGTTAATGTTAATATTTCCCATAAATAAATATATTGCTATCTATTTCTTAATAGTTTTAGGTAAATCAAAAAACTAAACAGATTGATGAAATATGAATATATATTATAAAGATAATTTGAATTTTTAATCAAATCTAAGAATTAAAATATAATAAATTTTAAGTAAATAAATAAATTAAATTATAAATATAAATTCATATTATAATTCAGTATTTAAAATAAAATATATGCATATTTATAATTAAGTTGTGTTTTGTAAAACAACTTTTATGAACAATTCTTTTAGTTTATATTTTATCTCCTCATTTAATCCTAAAACAAAGGAGAACCAACCTGAATATTAATCCAATATAAATTCTAATTATATATTTAAACCTTAGTATGAAATAAACTATCTATCAAAGTATTGTGGCTTTAGAAATTAGATTAAATTAAATTTATTAATTGAGTAGGGAAGGGATTAAAATTATAAAAATTAGTTGAAAATTTACTATAAAACTAAAAATTTTTTTATTCAAAAAAGATTTTAATCAATTAACAAACATTTTTCACATTTAACAAAAAAAAAAATAAAAAAATAATAATATTTATTATTTATTTAATCAGTGAAAATATTAGATATCATTAAGGGCCAGTCCAAGTTGCCATAAAACCAGGTAAGTGAGCCTTAAGGTTGATATTAGGATTTGCTATATATTCTTTAATTCCAGGCAAGTTTTCAAATCTTTTTAAATAAGCTGTTAGGGCTCCAGTCATTGCTTAAGGGTATATGTATTATACATGGTTAACCAACTCATAGAAATGAAAATCTGCATAGGTTAAGCTCTCCAACAAAAATAACTTGTTTCCTAAAAAATTTGTAAGTTTCTTAAACATGTACTCAACTTTTTCTGTATAAACCTTCTCTTTTACTTCATAGAAATCAGGTCTAAAGCAAGTTAAATTGATTTCTTTTGCTATATCTCTGATAACTCCCATTAGCTGAGTAACTTTCACTTCTTTGTTGGTGCTAGATCCATCAGCTTATAATCCTAAAAGTTAGAATTTTTTGTATTTCTTAATTAAGTAGACAGGAATAGCGAAAGACTCAGTAAGCTTAACATCTCCATCAATTAAATATGGAAGATTAGGGAATTCTAAACCAAGATTGTCTTTGTCCTTTCCAAACCATTCTTCAAGAGAGGCATAAGTTTTATTGGTGTATTTCACTCCTAAATAAGCAAGCAAGAAGCGGATAGGTTAGCCAAAACCTCTAATGTTCCAATAGCCGAAAGTAATCATTATTATTCTTATGAAATTTAATTTAAGTTAATTGTTTTTTATTTTTTTAATTTATATTATCTACTTGACCATTATTTGAGCATATTTAAACCAATAATTTAATTTCAAGAAATCTTGAATTTTGTTAATTTCTGATGATTAACATATAAATTATTAAGTATCCTCTTTAACATCATATTTTTTACTTAATTTTAATAGTTTTTCTACAAATTTTCTTAATTTATTCTATTGTTTGAAATCTGATCTTTTTTTATTTTTTGTGGAAGGAAATTGAATATAAAGTCTGTGAAATCTGATCATTTTTCGTTGAAGGAATAATAGAATGTAAAGCTTAGTCATTTAGATAAAAATTAAGTATATTTAACTCAAGAAGAGGGTTATTCTTGGAAAATATGAATTAAAATAATTTGATAATAAAAATACTCAATTTTATTTTTGAAATAATATATTTAAAGTTTCATTACTACATACCAAACCTATTTATAAGAATTTTTTAAATATTAAGGATAAATATATTATTCAGAGCTTTTTCAATATACCAAAATTCATATTTATATTTTTTGTATGAAACTAATTACCTGCATTAAATAAAAGGTCTAATTTAAAATATTAAGCATATGAGTTATTTAAATAATTAAACAAATTAAAATATATTTTTTAAATATTTAGAGCTTATATTTGCTTTTCAGCAAAATAGAAAAATTAAAGAATAATTAATTTTCTTTTTTTAATTTTAGCTAATTTTCTGAAAAAATCTGATTTTTAAGTGGCTCCTATAATTAAATTAATTAGCTTCTACAACTTAATTAGTTATAGAAAATATTACACTCAATGGTTTTTAAATTTAAATAGATTTTATGATAATAGCTTAAATCAATTTTAAAATAATACAATTTAAGAAATTAAAAATAACATTTTATTTCAATACATTTTGTTTTGGTTATATATATCCAATCTTTCCAAATTTCCTTAAAACGTTATTTAAAAATTTACAAATTATTGATACGCTAATTATACAATCTTATAAATTCTTAATAAACTCATCAATCTAATTTATTAATTATTCTTCAAAAATTTTTTATAATTGTAAATGTAAAAAAAGATAGGCTTTTTAGATAAAAAGTATTGCTTATCAAGGTATTAAAATACGATGAACTTGATAGTATTATATTTTAATATCTGATTGTGTTTAATTTCTAGTAAAAAAAAGAAATTAAAATATTTATTATGAAAAGGTACTATTCAACAAAATTCATAAATTGAATATTAGATATAAATATATTGTATAAAAAGTTTTCTTTAAAATTATCAATATTTTTTCAAATATATATATTTTTTTTTAATATTCAGAAAATATGGTGAAAATTTATGCTGGTGAGAATAAATTTATGAGGATTTACGGTATATAAAATAAATTATGTATTTGATGGAAATATGAAGCAAATTAAAAAATTCATAGGAAAATAAACATATAAATTAATCAATATTTTGTCTTATCATCACCAAAGTTACATTGATGAATATATTCTTATTATAAAATTATTATGGATTTACTTTGTACTCGATCATTAATTTCTTATGAAAAAATTTTTAATTTCTTTTTCTTTTCTTCCTCTTTCATTTTTTTATTAATTAATTATTTTGATTTTGATCAAATTTTTAATGCAAAATTTAAATTGTAATTGATATGTCTCTTTATTTATTGTAAATTAAATATTAAATTACAGATAAGTAATTTTTTCTAAACATTTTTCAATTTATTTATGGTTATTATGTGAAAAATATTAAAGATATTTTTAATTTAATTACAAATAGTAAAGATATTTATTTTTAATTTAATTGCAAATAGTAAAGATATTTTTTGAGAAATATAATTTATCTCAATTTTGATTAAATAAAATAGGGATTAATAGCTAATTTTTTATTTAAAATAAAATATAATTAGTATTTAATACTTAATCTAATTATTTAAAGGTAAAATATTTTTAAAAAGTCATAACAACTTTAATGTAAATATATATTTTAAAACTTAATTAATAAAATTAAAAAATTATCTCAATTTTTAGTGCCAGAATAGTTGTCTCTCTTTCTTAAGCAAGCCCCATTTATTAATTCATATCCTTCTCTACAGGAATCACATGAACGAGGATCTATAGCTTTTATGCAGGTATTACAAGATTTGTGACAGCCTCTTGCACTTTACTTTGAATTCTATTAGCAATAGTAGTTATTATAAGTATAGCCAGACACACAACTCAAGCATCTATTGTCATAATATTCACAAGTCGCGCATGGAGATTAGCAGGGTTTGCATGTCTAATCACTATCGATATATTATCCAGGCTAGCAAACTATTTCACAGCTATATCCTTCTTTATTATACTTATATCCTGAAATACAGCTAAGGCATCTATCTGGGTAGTATTCGCAACTTCCACAATTAGATGTGCAAGGCTTGCATTTGTTATCTTAGTAGTCTAAGTATTCACTTTTTTTGCAAACTGGAGTACATTTATCGTAGGTGCTATCTAGATTATAACCTTGCTAACATGAAGTACAAAAATCTGAATACCTATCACATGTTAAACAAGAGCTATTACATTAAAGGCATTAACCTCTATTTAAATATTGGCCATCATTACAGGATTTACAGGCAGAAGCATTATTAAGTTAATTGCATTCTTTACAAGAGGGATGACATTTATTTTAATTTTTAATGCATCTTTAAGTTTTTGTATCTAAAGTATATCCACTAGCACATTCAGTACATTTATCTGAATAGTTTACACACTTAGAGCAAAACTCACTACATCTTTAGCATCTTCCTTATTAGTTCATGAAGGTTCCATCTTAGCAATTAGCTGCTTAGCAAGTGTATCTTGATAGAACAAAACCAGATTTACAACTTGTACATCTTTTACTTGTTTAATCACAAGTAGCACAAGAAGAATCACAAGGCTTGCATTTATTATCCTAATCTAAGAACTATCCATCTTGGCATATAGGATAATCATATTCACATTAGTAGGTTTGAGTGTTCAATTTGTAGCCAGAAATACAGCTAGAACATCTGTTAGGATAGTAGAAACAAGAAGTACAAGGTGAAGTACATTTCTAGCATTTATAATTTCTATCAATATATTCATCACTTTTGCAAACAGGTGTACTGTCTACACAAAGACCTGTCTTTGGGTCTTTTGAAAAACCATTTTGACAAGAAGTACAGTATGTTGAAATTCCATTGCAAGTCAAACAAGAAC